TGGGGTTCGGTGTTTTGGGTTTTGGGTTGGTTGTTCACGTAGCTGAAGTTCCGTACCTTAGTTCGAATTAGGGGGTTAGTGTAGACCTGGCCTTAGAGACTAACACATTTATTTGAGCATAAGCTTTCATGGGCTACAGCCCACTTCTTCGGACTAAATTTGTTAGTCTCTAAGGTGCCACAAGTACTCCTGTTCTTTTTGCGGATACAGACTAACACGGCTGCTACTCTGAAACCTCACTATGTTTATGTTTATCATTTAATTTGTACTGAATTTTGTGAGCAGGTACATGTCAATCATTGCAGAGTTTTCAATTTAGCAATTTCAATCCTAGATCAGAAGGGAATGAGGACAGCTGCTGCCATGACAGACTAATTAACAAGTCCATGTTCCAATGTTGTCGTTTCTGAGGTAGTTGTAGGATGAAGGTTTAAAGGCACTTTGAAACTAAACTGTCAACCTACTTCCTGTAGTTTCTTCTCCAGGAGACCAAGGTTCTAACCTTCATTGTGATGCTGATTTCGGGTAAAACTTTGGACAAGTCATGTAAGCCTACGGTTTCAAAAGTGGGCACTGACTCTTTGATTCTTCCATTCCAGGGACCAGTTTGAGGCATGTTGGGTGTGATTGTTCAGGGGTGATGAGCATCCATACCTCCGTTGACTTCAATATGAGTTGTGGTGCTCAGTACCACTGACTATCACGCACAAGGCGTCTTGAGCTGGTCACCCAAACTCAGAGGCCGCTTATGAAAATATTGCCTGAAATCCTGGCTCTTTGAAGTCAATGGAAAAATTCTCATTGACTTGGGTCAATGGGGCCAGGATTTCATCCCTTGATCATAACCTCTCTGATCCTCATTTTCCCTGAATGTGAAATAGGGGTGGCGTGTTGATCAATTACATTTTGCCTGCAAACTGCTATGAGTGCAAATTACATTTATGCCACTGAGTGTCAGAGGCAAGGGAACAGCTGCTTCTCCTTCTCTCTGCCGTATAGCACCAGGAATCGCACTCTGCAAAGGCATGTACCTATGGGGAGTGAGCATAGTGAGACCTAGAGGCTGGTCAGGGTAATCATTCGCTGGTGAGAATTGCAAGGGCTCTTGTCAATATAGCTCTTAAATTCTGCTTCCTGGTATAACAATGGGGCCGGAATTGGATTAAGATACAAACTAATTGCTGAGTCCAGCACATCCTCATGCACCATCAGCCACAGGGGGCTTAGGTGACTGGAGTGGCTTTGCACAGAAGCGTCACCCTTCATTTTTATGCTGATCACTTAATCTTTCCCAAGGAGCAAAAGTAGGCACAGATTTCTTTAAAAAAATAATAAAATCAGAGGATCTTTTTCTGACTGTGTCATCTGGCTAAGGTAGAAACGTTAGGGAGCAGATTCAGTGCCAGATTCTGCCCTTGAACATGCCCAAATGAAGGCAGAATTTGGCTTGGAGAATCCGCCAGTGTGAAATGGGAGAGACCTGCCCTTAGTTACATGCATTAACCTACCATTGAAACCAGTGGGGATCACGCCTGTGACCAAGGGCAGAATTTGGCCCCAGGGATGTTAAGGGGATGAAATGTCCAATCTTGATGGAAGAGGTTGTTCCCAAGTTTGTAGCAGCCTATGTAGTCACCTGTCTGATGAATGATGCATCATGTTGACAACAGCTGCTAAGAGAGCTGGAAACCCACTTAAATAGCAGCTGTACTTGGGTGACTTGAGGGCGCTTCTGCTGTATATGAGAAACAGACTGCTCTGGGCCATCCCATACCAGATGTACATCCGTTGGTGTCGAGAAAGCAGCTCTTTATCTTTTGTGCCTCTCTTTCCCTATCAGTAAAATGGACATAATGATACAACCTGGCAACAGAGAGTGAAACGAATGGAACATCTACAAGTTGCTTTTCAATCCTCTGATGTAAAGTGCTATACAAGTGCAATCTATGGGTGCTATCCTGCAGACACACTACTACAAGATCTTCCATAAGAAGCCCCAGTGGAGTGTTGTCATACGTGTGTGCAGAACTGGTTACTGTTACTATTCTGTAGAACCAGAGACGGGTGAAGGAACCAGAGCTATAATTGCTTAATTTTTCTCTCTCTTCCCCCCCCCCCCTTACAGTTTATGGCTGCAAATGGAAACAACGTAGCAAAAGCAAGATATGAATCTAAAATACCACCATTTTATTACAAGCCAACATTTCCTGACTGTCAGTAAGTAACTACATATTTTCACTGGTAAACAGCATTTATTTGTTTGTGCAACTGCAGCCTCTGTAATATTTTAGTTTTCAGGGTTTGGTTTGGTTTTGGTTTCAGTTATAAAGGGCCCTGAGAAGTTCCAGTCCTCTGGATTTATATGATAGGCTAGTACTACGCGTGAGATTTTATTTAATAACTACAGTTGGGTGGGACAGGGAAGAGTCAATAGATTGCGCATTCCCTAGACCCTTCCAACTTTCTAAGGCTATAAAAATGTCAATTTTTAATTATGGTTTTTAGACCCTCCCCCACCTTTTTAAATAGCCCTTCTGCATGAAAACGTGGCTCTACCATCTGATATACTAGATGCTATGTTGTTGTTTGTAATACCAAGATGCTCTTTTCCGTAGTGCCAAAGCTAGCATCGTATCCCCAAGACATAATCTTCCAGGATAGGACAATAAAAGAGAGATTCTACACAATATTATGCATGTAAACACTTAGGGTGGTGGAATCCAACATGACGAAGGTGCCATAGTATGTCCAGAATTACCCTGCTCCAGCATTTGGAGGGAGGGGAGAAAATCTGTTTATGTTGCTTGTCTGATTAGACCCATCTCTAGGGCCTGATCCTGCAAAATCCAGTGTGCCCTTGACACCAATTGAAGCCAGCACTTTGCAGGATAGAGGCCCCAGGAAGGCGGTACTTCCAGGAACGAGGTCATAGTGTTGGCCAATCGGCAAATGACAGCACCACTTTGTCACTCTGTCATGGATCGACAAGATGTGTGCTCTGCCCCAGCTTTTAAACGGTCCCTTGGAGGAACCCCTTCTGTGTGGCAGTCCTTCCCCTCCCCCCAAGAGGTCATACTTGTACTTAAGGTTGGGCCACATGGTCTCAATGCCTCTGAGACTGAGCCTCTAGGCTCCAGCACTCTTGTTTCTTGCTGGGAGCTCTGCCCAGTGAGTCCAACTGAGAGAGACTCCTGGTGAGGGACTTGTGCATCCTTCAGGGACCCATGCACCTCAGCAAGTATATGCAGTGACACCTGGCAGCTTTTTAAAAACAGAGTAGGGGGTTTTAGTCAACTGGAACACAGCATCAGAAGTCCTTGGATTAGCACAGAGAAAGGTTAAGATGTAGTCCATCTGGCCACGCCAGTGCAGTCAGCCAGCCAAGCTGCTATAGATTCCATTCTCGGCTTTGTCTCTCTTTCCCTTTGTCAGTCCAAGGTGAGGGCTCTGCCTGTCTGCAGAGGGCAACTCTTAACCCCGCCACCTGTCATCTTTCCCTTTGTTCTCAAGCCGGGGCCTTGGCTCTGTTTCCCTGCTGAGAGTGGAGGAAATGATTGAAGGATTCACAGAAGGACCCATATTGAATATAGAATCTGACTTCCTGCCTAAAGCAGACCAGAAAATACCTCTCAGTAACTCGGCGATCGAACCCATGTGCGTGATACTACTTTTACTGGATTCTTAATCCTGTTGCTATAGCTGTTAAGAAAAGTTCTCTTAATTTTCTTTTCTTTTTTTTCCAAATAAATCTTCCATGGAGAGGAAGAGAGTATATGGGATCCCTAACTGATTGCTCTTGTTGTGTACTAGAATCTCTGTGTCTTTTTCTCCCCACCCCCTGTTCTAAAATACCCAATCCCAGGTGTAGGATTTTGGAAGCACCAGCTTGAGTCTGTCTTGGCCTGGCACTAGAGAATTGTTCATTTGCAAAGTGTTAGCAGATCTTGATTTTGGTCTGAAATGATTTTTGGTATCAGATCCTGGTACTGACAGTTAGAGAAATAATTTGAGTATGGGTAAATCACTGTAAACGACTCCTTTAGAACAATAATGCTGTCAAATGGAAAACAACCTCATCTTGTTACTGTTCCAATTCTCAAAAAAGTCTGCTCCTTCTCAGAAGAGTCTGGTGTGACACCAAACCATAAAACAAACAGCCTGCCCCCGGGGACACAATTGGAGTCCCATTCATCCCGGAGGGTAACGTTTCTAAGGACTGGTTAAGAAAACATCTCCCAAGAACCTAGACTTGTGGCCATTGTATTCGTAGGAAAAATAACAGAATTCAGGCTGGAACACTGGAGCTCAGTCATCTCAAAAAGGTTGTCCCCATTTCAATGGGAAAAAAGTGCTTCTTTACAAATTCAAGGTAGTTCTACAATTTGCTACTTTTTTGCCCAAATTTTCTGCCGCTCCCTAGAGGGAGCATGGCCCAGAGCCTTGATTACAGGGCTGGGCACTCAGAACCTGCCAGGATCTGTTCCTGCCTCTGCCTGGCCTTAATGCTTTGCTTGCATGCATCAGATGTTGAGCCAGACCTTGTAAATGCTGCTCGTGTGAGTGAGTCCCATTAACGTCAATGGGATTTCCCCTGTGATGAAGAGCTACTTTCACAAATAAGTTTGGAAGACAAGGCCTAGTATTTAATAAGGCCTCCTAGTCCCCCCCCGGGGAGTTATGTAAATGCGATTGCATCCCAACCGAGGTTTGGAGAAAGTTGAAGTGACTTGTCCAAGGTCGCACAGCCCAACAGTGACACAATCTGGTGCCACCTGCCTGCCATTCCCATGCTGAATCGACAAGAGCACAGCGCCCCCGCCCCCCAGGCAAGCCACTGAGTCTCTTTGACCCAATTTCCCTGTTCACAAGTAGTGACAATAATACTTACATAATCATCCCTGAGGTGTCTCATGCAGTTTTGATTGACCTTTGGTTAAAGACACATCTTGATGGATAGCCAAGTTTTTGTTCACCCCTGGGGTGGTCCCTTCAGACAGGTTGCACTGTACCTAAGGAAGGGACAGGGCTCTTCTAAGAATGGTGTTTGTTGACACCAAGCAAGGGATCAGATAGTGTCCGGCCCCCCCCAGGTGCGTATGAAGAAGAAAGGGCACAAGAACCTTCCCAGCCACTTTGACTTTCCAGCCACTCCTTTTCCCCATGGACAAGCCGTGCTGGCCGGCTATGGAGGGGAGCACCCCTTACTGAATGGTTCAACAGCCTCCGTCCTCTTACAGACGGGGTAACACCCTTGAAGCATGTCTCCCAGAGTCCCCACTGGAGTGGTGCAGCTCTGCATTGCCCCATTGCAAGGCTGCAGCTTCTTAACTCAGCTCACCCCTATGCATTAACTGCTGTGGGAATGGTTGCCATCATTCAGCTCTGTGACTGTGCGAGAAGAAACGGCTGCTGATTTTCTCTCTTGTATTGCTGGACTGAAACCAACAATCTATTTACAGCTTCTTGAAAGATTCTGTGCAGAACATTAGTCATGTTCATTTTCCTGCCTTCGCATTTCTTGTGATACAGATGAGGAAAGTGGTCTGAAATTCAGTCCTCCTACCAGCATACACAGAAATTACTTGATACCGGTGCAATTGAGACTATAGGATAGTCTGTAGCTAGAAGAGCAAACTGTCCACTTTAGGGCCTGTGGCCACGTCTGCAGCTGTTTCCAAGCCCCGTTAGTCTAGCTCTGTTTGCTGCATATCAGGCTTTCCTGGGGAGAGCTTAACACAGGCCAGATGCTGGCACTGTTTCATCCACTGTGTTGTCTGTACTTACTTGAGCAAAATTGGAAAAGCAACACTGTGCTTTAAAACATACCTGGAACCCTGTCTACAAATGCACTCCATAGCATCCTCTCAGGTGAGTCCATGTGCTTTGAGTGTTTTACATGCCAGCTTATTAAACTGTCCTAGCAACATCAAGAACAGTAAGGCAACAATCCATTGTTCCTGGTGAAACTGGGAGACGCTTTCAATACAGGTACATGAGTGGCCTGAGGCAAGTGCCCCTTTAGAGATAGGCTAGGACAGGAAAACAGCTATCAGTCATCTGGCAGCCCACAGGAATCCAGGTCAGGTGTTCATTACTCACATTGATTTGCTACAGTATCTACCCACCCCTCTTTGCTAGGGAGCAGAGGGCTACTCAGGAAACAGTCAGACATGGAGGGTGTCTGAGCTGCGATTGACATGTCTGCTCCTGCAGCCTCTGACTCGCAGGAGTGGCCCTACTGGGAAAGACTACGCTCTGACTACTCACGTTTTGCTACGAGCAAGGACTGCACGTGTGAGGAAGGATTTGTAGGATCAGGCTCTAACCTGAGGAGCCTTCCAGCTCTGTAGACAGACTCACACTAGCTGGAACTAGCATGATAAAAATAGCAATGTGGACATTGCACTTCGGGTGGTAGGTCGGGCAGTGGCTGGAGCCCTCAAGTCAGGGGCACCAGAACAGAGGAGCCAGGGGGCCATGGCCCCATCACTTTTAAAAGTGGGAGGGCATAGTCTTAAGGGAGAGGGGGACAGGGGCAGGGAGGAGCAAGCGGCGTGCAGGACCCGGGGGAAGAGGCAGGGTCGGGGCAGAGGTCCGGGGAAAGAGGTGGAGCGGGGAGGGGTCCCCTTCTCAGGAGCTTCTGGCGTTCCTGCCTCAAGGCCACCTGACCCCCAGGGTCTGAGCTCAGATGACTAGCCCGAGTCTCCACCAGAGCTGCAACAGCCACGCTGCTCTATGTAGTGTGCTATCTTGAGCCTTTAGTGTGAGTCTGTCTGCCTGGGCTGGGAGGCTCAGTCCCAGCTGCAGTGTAGACATACCCAAGGTGAGCTGTGGATGAAGAAGGAAACCTACCAATACTTCTCAACAGAGGCAAAGACAAGTCTTAATTTGGCCACACAGCTGGCTGAAAACTGATTAGAAAAATACAGAAATGCCCCTCTGTATATGGCTTTACTTTCTGTGGATCTAAATCCACACCTTCACTCACTACTTACCAGCAGCAAGATGTTCAGATTGACTCGTAATCCTACGGTGGCACTCTGTGAGGTTGGGCATGGCTAATGCTATAAGTGAAATCTAGTGTGTTGTCTCAGTCTATAAAGTTATTTGGACCAGGCTTTGATCTTGATTATTCCAGGCTTACGTTGATGTGAGTGAAAGCAGCACCAAGCCCTTCATCTTTAACAACATAATATTTTAATGAATCAGCATTCAGT